TTTTTAACTAGCAATATTATTTTTTTAAAATTACATCTAGTACAATATGTATATTTTTAATTTAACAATGATGAAATATTTGTAACTAGCATTATTTTTTTTTAATTCTATCTAGTACAATATGTATATTTTTAATTTAACAATGACATATTTTTGACTAGCAATGAAATATTTTTGATTAGCAATACTATTTTACTCATATTTAGATTTCGTTAAACACAAAACTACAAACATTTTTAGAGATTATAACCAAATAATTTCAATAAAATGCAGCAAAAAGTTATCAAGAATAATTGGAAAAGATAATGACGAACTCCAAATATTATTTGCAAAACTTCCATAGAAACATGAATTACCGCATTATTTAGAACATAGATTATAACCAAGTAATTTCATTTCAATAAAAATGTTTAAATCAGAATAATTATTAGGGAATTATACTTTTAACTGACAATTAATTAGTAAAGATAATGATGAATTCTAAATGATATAAAAAGGTTAAGTATTATAAAACTTACTTTGTATAATTGCCGACACTCCACAAACACAGAAACTTCTCCAAACGGTACTTTGCACACAACTTGTCTACACGACGATCTGAATTGAACTGATGATTGTATAGCGTCTGCTATTTATCTAACTGCCTCTCCCACGCTAAAACTATGTTGTGCAATCATGAGAAAATTCATTTATGCATGTCTTGCTTAATTAGAAATATAAAAAATGTCCACATGTTTTCCGGCGTTCGTGTGAATATTATATCGTGAGAGAAATTCTTAATAGCCGACAATGATGTCACCATTCTCAGTAATATATTTTATGTCACAACACATGCCTCGCTTAATTAGAAATATGTACATGTGTTTCCGGTTATATCGTGAGAGGAATTTTTAATAGCCGACGTATCCGGGTGATGTCATTATTCTTAGAATAGTCTGATGTATCGAATTTGATGATAGCAGAATATATTTATAAAGATTTCAAATGCGAGACGTAATCTTCGTTATTATTGGGGGAGTGGGGGGGCGTTTGGGTGTATTTTCATTACATCGTTCTCATTAGCATACGTTGAGACATAATCTTCGTTATTATTGGGGGAGTGGGGGGCGTTTGGGCGTCTTTTCGTTGATATTGGGGGAATGGGGGCGTCTTTTCGTTAATATTGTGAGCCCTCATTCATCCATGCACGTCTTTCTCATTGGACGTTGATGCACACGTTCCCATTGAGGACGTTCCTATGTCACCATTGGTCAGCAAGACACGGGGGACGTTTCTATGCTCCCATTGGTCGTAGATACGTTCCAACGTCACGAGGATGTCCACCATTGGTCTAGGATAGGTTCTAAAGTCACGAGGATGTCTACCATTGGTTGAGGATAGGTTCTAACGTCACGAGGAGGCGTTACTATGCTGTCATTGGTCGCTGGGGGTGTTGCTATTCCCACCACTGAAGCTGCTATGCTGCCATTGGTCGATGATACGTTTCGATGTCACGAGGACGTCCGCCATTGGTCAGCAAGACACGAAGGACGTTCCTATGCCTCCATTGGTCGAGGATAGGTTCTAACGTCACGAGGATGTCTACCATTGGTCGAGAGGTGTGGCCTAGAGACACGAGGCACGTTCCTACGTCACCATTGGCCGAGGGGTGTGGCCTAGAGACACGAGCCACGTTCCTACGTCGCCATTGACCGAGGGGCGTGGTCCCGAGACACGAGGTACGTTCGGACACGAACCGCCATCTTGAAAAACGAACACGAGCCGAAGATACCCGATCTTGATGCCAGAACGAACATTACCCATCTACTCATATGAAAATCAAATAGAAACACTCCTAAAGAACCAAATGTCTGTTACAACGTCTGTCATAAAATCTTTTAACACTACTATCCAAAAATTACAAATAGACGAACAAACTTTTAACAAAGACCTAAATAATATCGAAACCACTCTTATAGATATTGCTGACGACATATCATTTTACTGTGCACAATTACAAACCTTAAATTTGTGTGGATCATTAATGGAAAGCTACATATCTTTAGAAAATGATCTCAATGACATTTTGAACGCCATCACCTTTTCTCGGTTGCAAATTTTACACAGTTCAATTATTTCGCCCAATGATTTACTAGATTCACTGAAAATTATCTCACAATCATTACAAAATAATGTATTACCATTGCCCATTTATACATCAAATATAGCCCAGTATATTGATATAATAAAACTTCAAGCATATCAACTCCATTCAAAAATTGTATTCGTCCTAGAAATTCCACTAGTCGACCCAGAAATCTATACCTTACATCATTTATATTCTATACCAATATTAGATAATCAAACTGGTCTTTTTCATACACTTTCTACAATACACAAGTATATAGCGCGAGATGATGATTCAATTTCATATGTATTAACCAGAAACATAAAAGAATGCAAATCAATTAGTCCAAATCAAAGAATGTGAACAGATATCCTTCCCTATCCAATAGACAGCGATACTTTATGTGAAGCACAGTTATTGAAACCAGTTAGCATTCTACCAAAGACTTGTCAGATGTCGACGTTTTTAGCGCAAGATTACAATGTGTAAGAAATTGACCGAAATTTATGGTTAATAACAGTATCCGATCCATCACCAGTTACAATCCAGTGTGAAAGAAAAGACATCAGCACCCAGACAATCAAAGTAAATACAATTCTAAGATTACTACCCGAATGTACAGCATTTATTGAAAGTATTAGAGTCCACGCCAGAGACCAAATCGATAAATATCCAAATATAACCTACAGAAGTCATCCAGTTAATGTTCCATACAGATGTGACCATTTTGGAAGAAGAAACCAAATTTGAAACCATTACAACTCAATAAGATCAATGCAGACGATTTAAATATTGCACAACACAAGCTGGACCAATATTCAGAAGAACTCGACCGAATCATGAACCAACCATTCATCGAAGAACATTTGCCTTGGTTCACTATATTGTCTTTAACATTAATTATCATTCTAGTTTTTGTATACATCTTCTGCAAATGTGGACGCAAAAGATTTCCAAGATTTGCCATGAACTATCTTCAAGACTCACCTCTACCTTCGCCACATCGCAGCAGTTCCATTAAACAGAAACTTAAAGGATTAACCTTTAAAAGAAGACCAGACGTACGCCCAGAAAATGAAGAAGTCCAGAAACCCCAATTGAACTTAAAAAGTCAAAGCACGACATCGACTTTTCACTAATGAGGGGACCTGTTATATGTGAAAATAGTCACCTTGAACCACTCAAGGATTACCGACACTTTGGTTTCGCAATATCAGTTTCTATTTCATCATCCTTTCAGCAAGCGTTCCCATCGAGAAAGCTGACCATGCAACATCAAACTCTGACCAAAGCTGGCCTTTCGTGGGAAATGCCGACACCACATTTTGTAGATAGATTATAAACTTAGGACTTTAACATTATTGTTTCACTCATCATTTAAGTTTCTGGCTAATAACATATTTGTATTATAATTTTAATTGCTTCATTTTTATCGTAGAACAAAGTGTAACGTGTAATTGTAAAATAAATCTTTTTTAAAAAGTCAATTAAGAAGTTAGTGATTTAACATATATATATATATATATATATATATATATATATATATATATATATATATATATATAAGAAATTATTGTAAAAGGAGATGTCAAGCACTACCAGTGTCAATATATTTTTTGGTAACATAGGCGGCATATCAAGTGATAAACAAAAGAATTAAGAAACCATTACAAACACAATGGAATTGTCCGTCTAGAAAGTACAAACTGTATTTAAAAATTAAGACAGTATCCTGGAATGTTTTGAAAATAAAGTCCGGAAATCCTAAAATATAATAACATGGAGATCACAGTTTAAACCGCCGGTTTTGTCAAATGGTTTAATGATCCTACATTGAAGGACTGGTTGGATATATTTTACATACTAATGTCACATATTGACACGTATGAATTAAGAAGACTGTAGAGACGGATAAAAAATGAGGAGAATTTGAATATTCTGCAAGAAAAACTTGTGACGATATTACCTATATTTCAAATTAAGAAGAATTGTTTTACTTTTCAAAATCATCTATGTTGCAAAGTTGTTTAAAGAGAAAATTTCGCACTTTATATAAAGAAACTGCCTTTAGAAGTTAAATGGTTTGGATTCAATATTTTGTGAAATAAGAGAAGTTTTGATTATTTTAATAACAATGCCAATTTTTAATAACGATGCCAATGATAACTTCAGAAACTGAAAGATTTTTCTCTACTTTGGAATTGATCAAGACGGCACTTGCCATGTTGTCCATCGAAAAAACTAGTTGTACAAATTTCTGAATTCATATAAAAGGTAATAAAAATGAGGGAAACATCTCCGATAGAAACAAAAGGATTGTGTTTTATTTTAAGAAGTAGGCTTTAGGTGAGTATCTATTTTTTTTTATATATTCTTGAGTCAGCGCTCCTCTGCACTAAATTATCCACTGAACATCACTATTGAAGAAAGGTTAGGATATTTAATCCTCATAATATTAAAGATAAAAGATACAATTGTAATAGTTAATATTGTGCTGTAATTTCAGAATATTAACTTATACAGTATCAGACAATTTATTTACGCTGATTTTCCATATTTTCACTAAAAAAATTATACCTAATATAACTTGTATACTTGTACTTGACAAAAATTGTCATAATATTTCTTATAAAATAGATTATAGATTGGCTAAAGGTTTCAAGCCAAAGCCATTATAAAAAAAAAAGAAAAAAGATTATAGCTACAAAGAAATCAAAAAGATATTAAGATATTCCCGAAATTTGTCAGCATGTGCGATTTAGATGCCATATTTTAAGAGTAAAGATTGTCTTTTCCTAAAAATCTTATCCCATCTAAGTTTGTACATTATCTGATCCAGCATTGATTAATTATTTTGCTTGTTTACGTTATTTAATGAACTCTTTCTACTTACTAAGGCTCTTAACATAAGTTGTTGGTCGTGTTGTTTACGAGCCGCATTTGATACGACATATAGATGGTCATCATCTATTTTGGTAACGATAAGATCATCCAGGATACCTCCTTTTTCATTCGTGAAAACAGTAAGACTGCCTGTGTTTTTCTTGAGGCCTTGTAAATCTGCTGTACATGTTGTTTCAAAAAATTCCACACATTTTTCTCCTGCAAGACAATTTGATTAACATGTTTTAAATATATAAATATTATAATAATTATATTAATTATATAAATATTTTATTGAACAATGCGGATAATATTAAAAGATTGCTCATCTTTACTTAATAATAATTTAAAAATTTGATGTCAATAAATAGTCTAGGCGCCACCGTGGCTCTTTAATTTACGAGCTAGAGCCTTATAGACAACTAAATTGTTTATAACAACTTTTTGACCACTCGTATCTAAATCCACCCTTGAAATTCGCAATCAGCAGCCAAAAATCCATAAAAAATAACACTCCGTTCTGAATACTAGCGCGAAGTTTCGTGCTATTTTTTCTCTATTTTTAAAATTTAAATAATATTTTTAAAATTAATTATTTCCATATTCACCAATTAGTAACACAGCTGCTAGGTTATCGGATACAGTACGTACCATTCTGCATTTGTAAAGAATAATTAACTAAACTAACTAACTAACTAAACTAAATATTAACTAAGAACAACTAACTAAAAACAACTTGACTAAACTTGAATTGACTAAATTAAGTAGAAACAGAAACTAAATATTGGGCTATAAAAGCTTTTATTAGAAACATCGCAAAGGAACGAATCATGCTTGGAATATCACTAAGAGACAAGATTAGAAACACCGAGATAAGACGTAGAACAAAGATTAGGGATATTGTGGAAGAAATTACAAAAATGAAATGGCGCTGGGCAGGTCACGTACCCCGATATAATGACAACAGGTGGGCACGGAGAATTCTAGAATGGAGACCAAGGACGACAAGAAGAAGCATCGGAATTCCCACAAAAAAGATGGGTAGATGACATAAGAGCAGTGGCAGGCAAACAGTGGATTAGATTGGCGCAAGATAGAGAAAGATGGAAGCAATTGGGAGAGACCTACATTCAGGAGTGGATGGAAAATGGTTGACAAAGAAGAAGAAGAAGAAACGCTTTTGCAAACTAAAAACAACTAGAGAATTGACAAACGTCAACTTTTTTTGACAAATGACCAAAGGCTGACATTAGAATTTTTATTAATTAAATGCCAAATTATAATTTTAGTATTTATTTAATTTATTCGTCAAAAGCATCTTAAATCCAAACAAAATTAGTATGATTGAATAGGTATATTAAAATAATTGTAGTTTCGCATTTAATCAATATAAACAAAATTAGTATGATTGAATAGGAATATTAAAATAATTTTTTTTATTGAGTTAATGCCTCGACAACTATGATCATTGGCATGGTACAGTCAGGTACCTAGTGTAGTGTGTGTGTATGTGTAGAGTAATTGTCTTGATACTTAGCAAAGTCGACGTCATTGTCTTTGCTAAGAGACGCTAATTGTATCCGAACGTCTGCGGTCCCTCCGGTGAGTACCGATCGCACATGGAATTATTAAAATAATTGTAGTTTCGCATTTAATCAATAAATATTCTAACGTTCGCCTCTGATTAATTGTCAAAAAAGTTGACGTTGACTTAAAAACAATTAGAGAATTGAAAAACGTCAACTTTTGACAAGTAACCAGAGGCGGAGGTTTTAATATTTATTAATTAAATGCGAAACTACAAAGATGAGCTTAAACTCAAATAAAATTCTTCTTCTTCTTAACGTGCCCTATCAAGGCCCCTTGACGTTGGCGATTAACATGACGAAACTGTCTCTGTCTCGAGCCATTCTAAATAGTTGCTCAGCTGTCTTTATTCCTGTCCACTCCCTGATATTCTTCAACCAAGAGGCCTGCTTTCTACCAATTCCTCTGCGTCCTTCGATTTTACCCATCATAATAAGTTGAAGAATATTATATTGGTCTCCCCTTACTACGTGTCCAAAATAGGCCATCTTATTAGGTTATCAAGCAGCTCGCGAGCAGCATTTGCTCTCTCAAGGACTGCCACATTTGTTAGCATAGCCGTCCATGGAATTTTTAGTATACGTCTGTGCAGCCACATTTCAAAGGTCTCCAGACGATTAATGGTGGATATTTTTGATGTCCATGCTGCGACACCGTATAAGAGGACTGACCAAATGTAGCATTTAACCATGCGCTTTCGAAGTTGAAGTTGCAAGTTATCATTACAGAAGAATGACCTCATTTTTAAAAATGTGTGGATATCTCGATTCTACATTTTATCTCTTGATCTGGATCTAGTTGTTCAGTAATATGGCAACCAAGATATTTAAAACTAGACACTCTTTGAATTATATGACCATCAACATATAATCGTGCATCTTGATGTGCTAAACGGCTAAACACCATGTGTTTTGTTTTTGCACAGTTTATGTTTAGGCCAAACTCTCTACTCACTGTATCAATGGCATTTAAAAGACATTGTAATCCATTCATGTCATCACTTAAAATAACTGTATCGTCTGCATATCTGATTGTATTTATCAGAATTCCATTGACTTTCACGTCCCATTCCAAATTATGCAGCGCTTCTTTAAATATTCTATCTAAATATAAATTAAATAACAATGGGGATAGTATACAACCCTGTCTGACACCTCTTTGTATTTTACATATTTCTGTTAATTTTCCGTTTATGCAAGCTGTCGCTGTTTGACGCCAGTATAACTTTTCTATGAGTCGTATGTCTTGACTATCAACTCCTTTATATTTTAATATTGTAATTAATTTGTGATGCTGTACTCGATCAAAGGCCTTTTCATAGTCAATAAATACAGCAAAGACGTCTTTCCTTTTCCAAATAAAATTATTGTTACTAAATAGGTAGTTTCAATACCTTTCAAACGAAGTATCACTTGCCATAAGGTCCCATTTAAAATTATCTGTCATAGTGGCGCTGTAACGTCATCTGTCACTATTACGTCACCTATTATGACTAGTTGAGAAGCCTACGTCTGTTTATTACCTCCCTCCAAGTTTCACTATTATACGTATAACCGTTCAAAAGATACGAAGGGGGGAACGGACTTTTGACTAGCACTCTATAATATAAATAAATATAAATTGCTAGTAAATTGAATTATTATATAAACTAAATATGTTTTAAAATAAAAACTAAATAAATTAATTAAAAAATTGTATTTATATGAAATTATTTTAAAACGAGAAATGAGAAATATAAAAATTTGAACGGATAATGTTGTTATTAATAGGATGGTTTTTATGACTTGGTACAATTTTGACAATTGTTACGAATCGAATCTTTTAGTGACAGATATTCTTTTAATTTTTTACTTCTCATTTAACTTATTTATTTTATTAGTTATTTTTCATGCAGTTTCTAATTTAAGCCTGCTTAGAGTAAATATAATTTAACTTACTTTAACCTTTAATTGTGGTTTATTCCCAAATGTTATCACGTTACAAAATTGATCGTCGCAGTAAAAAAATGTTGCCATCGAATATTTTTTTATTTATTAGATACTGCCATAAATGCATACTGCCTTTACAAGCTGATGAACTTGCCTAAATAATATCAAAATATTTTCGCTGTGCTGTTAATAATGGATTATAGGTAAACCAAATTGTTTTCAAAAAGAGGCTATCTAATGGAATGCCATTAGACACAATACAATTCAAAAAAACAAAGCCATTTGTTCCCATTGAGGTGCTACTACATTCTTCAGAACACAGCTAAAAATGTGCTTTGTGCAGCACCAAAAACAAACAAAATCAATCAGAAATACCACAGTGAACTAAGTTCGCTTTTGTATATTATATTATATAAGTTTTATGTCTGCAAACTTGTACGAACTGGTACGGTGGTACAAAATGTGTACCATCCCATAACTAAAAAAACGGGTGTGGCAGTCCAGTGGGACTGCCGATATGAGTTATACTTTTATACACGCGTTCGCCGTTACAAATTTATATGGGAGTAAATCTGCACAATCATTACGTATGTAACGCTATAGGTAAGAGAGAGCAGAAAGAGAAAAAGAATTAGTTATATAGGTATATGGTGCACCGTTTGCTGTATATAAACATTTGACCTGTAATAGCAGTATAGTAAATGAAGGATTGTATCAATATTTTAATGAAAATATATATTTTTATTTTCATATATGTATAAAAGGAGTTGAATGCAAGAAAAAATTTTTACACATTTTTACACTCTGTAGTAAAATTCATTGTTTATTTTGTTATTAATATAAAAATTACAATACAATAAATACACTGCAACATAATTCAATATAATAATACAATATAAATTAAAATGCAATATTCATTAAAAATATTTAATTGTAATTACAAGTATTTAAAACTGCCAATATACATAACTACGAAGATACGAAGATAAAAATAAAAACCAACAGCTCGGATTATCTGTAAACTTTCATTTTATTTTAAAATTTAGCATTTTTGCGAATATTACAATATATATTTAGTAATATTAACGTGAAGTTTTTCACGTTCACGTAATATTTCAAAAATAAAAAAGGAATTTCATATTGGGATTCGAACTCACAAACTCCAGCGTATGAACTAAACACGTAAAGGATTTGCTAATTAGACATGACACTAACAGACTTCAAAATTGACAGTTCTCGGTCAAACAGTGATTATTTTGAAATGCAAAAGCCTAAAGTAATTATAAACGTTTAATAAATAATACAAAACATATCACATAAATAATAATATTAATACATAATATATTATATATATATATATATATATATATATATATATATATATATTTATTATATAATATATAGAGAAAGAGAGAGAAAATATATCTTCTTTTTCTCTCTTACCCATTATCTTACATATGTAACGGTTTCACAGATTCACTCCAATGCAGATTTCCATCGCCGACCGGCGTATAGAAGTATAACTTTAAAAATCAAAATTTGCAAGAAAACATGGGATTGTATATCAATAGTAGATAATTAACCCCTTGATGTGTTTTTCTTTATTAATTTGTGAATAAAAGTATTGTTGCTCCACTAGGGCATTTTATGCATGAATACTTTTACTTCTCAAAGGGTTAAGTAGAAAGTAAATCTTTCCCAAGTTAAGATGACGTTGCATGTTGAAAACTGCAACTTGACCTTACCTCCGGATGTGACAGAAATATATTTTGCCATAAGTATTTTTTCTTCATCTTTATTTGTAAAGCTTTGGGTAAAATTTGCTTTCTATTAATATTTTGTTTACGTATAATAAATATTAGTTCACATAATCTTTTATTTGTCCGTGCCAAAATTTCTCATTGTTCAGATTTGTTCTAAACAATTAGCACCCAATGTTTTTATAGCTAGTAACTACACTATTATACACTTGTAGTTATATTGTTACAATTTAAAACGTGTTTATCTAAGGTCAATTATGATGGACACATAAATCGTTTAAGATGGAACGGTTTAACTTGAGACAGACTTTATCTTAAAACTATTTTTTAAAAGATACATAAAAATAGAGTAGGTAACCTAAGCCACAAATCCCTATTTTGCAAAGCTTTCAGCTATTTCTATATTAATATTATGCAGTTTAGATTACTTTAAGGGGACAGTCTCATGCGGAACTTTCAAAAAATCAATTTTATTTTTTTTATATAAATCGCTTCCATTTACATTCAAAAACTCCCTCCCAAAATTTTAAAAAGAAATTCCTACTAGAATATAAGTTATAGTTATTTTATTAGCGTCATCTACGCACGTATGAAAACCGGTTTCTCTCCGCGCGGCGAGCGCGAGGCTCCAGCTGTTCTTGCTTTTGTATATGTCGTATATACGTTGGGTATGTATTAGTGATTCATTTTTATATAGTATGTATATCAGTATAACCTTTGGCAGTTACTATACACATTTGGAATTTTAAATCCGGAACATAGGATTTTTTACAAATAGGTACAAGATTCTCTGCGTTGCAATTAACCAGTGTAAATATCTTTATAACTTCGCGATGTTTTATAACTAATTTATATTTTGTTCCACTGGATTACTTCTCCTCAGAGCGGTTTGTAGTAGCGTATATGGCACGCCGACAGTGTTGCTCCGCCTACCGATTTTTCCTGAAAGTCCGGTTTTGTGCGGATAATAAATAATGTTTTATTAACATCAATTTTGTTTGTGTTCATTAGGTATTATTTGAGTTATAAAATTTATACTTAAATACATTTACTAATCCAAATATTGTTTATAATTTCAAATTAAAAAGAGTGTAATATAATTATTTTATTTTTAAAATTCCTTTTTATTTTTAATTTTAGAAATCAACTTTTTTTTCAAGCCGTTTTGGCAATAAAACATAACCATTTTTTTAGTTATAAAATATTTTCATATCTACATTTATAAATAAGTAGGTTTTCGTTGAATTTACATGCGATCTAGGTGTGTTCCGTTTTAACACTTACACTGGAAGCATCGCGGCGTGAATTAAGAGTGAGACTCCAGTCAAACAAATGAATTATTAATTATAAAACATCGCGACGTTGTATTGAAATTTACAGCTTTACAAAGCCATTTACAACAACTGTTGAATGAAGACGGTCCTCAATATTCACCAGGAATGGCCGATTAAACGTGAATATAAAGTTATCAGCCTTTTATTCACGAAAATTATGAAAAAAAACTTTAAGTGCTTTTTTCTCAAAAGTAACATTTTCAAACTGGTCAGACACTTTTCTCCGAACCTTCTTAACCGATTTTAAAAAACCAAAAATTTTTCGAATGTATATACAAAATACTAGATGATAAACCTTTAAAATATTTAAAAACCACCCCCCTTTTTATTATATATGGGTAAATCCACCAAAAAATATAGTGATTTTTCGACTTTTTTGAAAAAATTCGTATAAACTCTTCAAAATAATACAATTTACATATTTTAAAGGTTTATCATCTAGTTTTGAGTCTCACAAATACAACTCATTTTGAATTTTTTGAATATCTGTTATAGGTGACCCACAAAGTGTCTCACCACCAAAAACGCACTTTTTACTACACGCCATCTACAGGACACCAATGAAGTTAAAATCGCTATTAAAAATTTTTATTATGTACTTCAAGACTTACTTAATCATCTCCAAAAGTAATTATGTTAATAAATATTATAGTTTTTTTTTTCTGCTTTAATTTTAAAATACGTCTTTTTTTTAATCGCATGAGACTGTCCCCTTAAACAAGAAAATCGAATTTGGCGCTTATACCACAGACTTTATTTTCAAACTCTGTAGTGCCTTGAGAGATACCGCAGAAGAAAATTTTTAAAAAATACTTACCTCTTATTTCGGTCTGTAACATATGCGATACATCAAACAATGAAGCATTACTCCTCGTGAATAAATGAGAATTAACAATACTGAGATTATTATACTGCACAGGGAGCATAAATCCTCCGAAGTTAACTATTTTACCACCATTTTCTACGTGAAAATTATACAAAGCGGTAGTTTCTCCTTTAACATCATTACTTAAAAGTCTTTTTATACTTTTACTTCTAAAATGATTTAAAATTTTCCTTGAAATCATAATGAAACCATGAATATTAAATGACAACTAAGGAACGACCTTCACAAAACAGTTGATGAACCAAGAGATCAAAAGGTTACGATTACTTCAAATCTACTACTCCAAATAAATTATTTTTATATCATTGGTCAATGAGGCAATTTTAAGATAATTGTTGCTGTAATAGATAAAAGTTTAAAGGTAACAGAAATTGTGTTTAATTGACACAATCACTAATGAATTGTAATATTGAAAGTATACAATAATAAGATTTACCCATATAATTAGTTTATATTCAAATAATAGACCATTATTTAGGTTCGCCGCAATAAATTTTTAATCGTAAAACTATTTAGTTATTTGTTAAAATACTATTGTATCAAATAGAGACCCGCATACTATCGACTAAATATTTGCTCTACAGAATAGTCATGAATCCTTATCGATCGCCTTTTGACGGAAACTATCGAAAGCAACGTAATTTCCATGTTTCCATAGTATTAGATGGCCTCGCGCATACACTCGCTAAACAGTGTTATCTAACGATCGTTATTTGAAAGATTCATGAAAGATTATTCGGGTTTTAATAAGCGAGAATGCATCATAATAGTTCTTTAAACCTGTTCGTATTGCCATGGGATAGACCCTTTTGGGGCAACAAAATAAAACAAGTACTGGCGGGCATTTAAACCCGCGATAACATTTCTTTCTCTCCATTAGGAAAATGAATTCCTGTAGCTGGCTGTATACAGTGAATTACAAAAAATTTTAAACGAATCCTTTATAAAAGGTATAATCTATAAAAACCCTATCGGGCTACATCACCGAACATTTTCGGAATGGCAATTCCATCTTGAATGCTTTCCAGGTTTACATGTTTGAAGATAGTAAATGCATGGGTAACAATCCTTGAAATATAGCTAAACTCATTTTAAATTATATTTTTGATGATAAAATACTGGGATGAATAAGTTATGTAAATGAAACATCCTTAAACGCTTAGTATGGGATGTACACAGATTTTTCTATTCCTTTTTCATTATCTTCTATATACCGTAATGCACAAGCAAGTAATTTTTTATACGACATGATGACATACTGAAATTTCCAATGCAATACGGACATGATTCGACTAGACTGTTTGGTCGTGGATAAATAGATAATGTGTGGGATCTTTTTACGAAAAGAACATTGAGATATTGAAAATTATCTATAAAAGAATTTACATAAAATGTGAGCAAGAAATATCAAATAAACAGTTTGAATGTTGAGACTACAGACCTTTATAAAGATTACGGTCTTTGTCTTCATAGTTTTAATGTAGAAGGGCAGAAATTTAAAAAATATTTAATTGTGTACGTTATGTGAAACGAAAGAGCATTAGATAAACTAAAACCCCACTAGGAAACTAAGTTCCTGTAGCTGGCTGTATACCATATATCACAAAAAATTGTTTAAAATCCTTTATAAAAGGTATATAAAAAATGCCCCAAACGGGCTATCACAATAACACTGCAAAACGTTTTCGGATTGATAAATCCATCATCAGTGCAAACGGTTGTACATGCTACTAGCCACCAAAATATATGGGTCAAAACCCTTTAAATGTTTTAAATTTGTAGTTGTTTTACATTATTAATAGTTATAATTTGTGATGTTTAAGTTATCGTTGGATAGGTAACATGGCGGCGTATGACTCTGCCGCCAGCCGCCCTGCCTATTTAGAGTCATGCGCCGCCATGTTACCTATCCAACGGTAACTTAAACATCAAAAAACTAAAACATAGACTATTAATAGAGCATGATAATAATACACTGGACTCGGTTTAGAAATAGTTCATTTAACATGATATCGATATAAAGAAAAATATACTTGATGTACTTTCCAAGTAAACGTTTATCCGAAGGTACCTCTGGAGGAATTGCATCATAGGGTAGACCAGGGGAATCCCGACATACGGGGCAATACAGACATAGTGGGTTTTGGTTTTGGTTTTATTTTTAGTTAAACAGGTCACTGTATAGTGCTGCTGTTTAGCGAATGACACCACAGATAGCTCTGCAATGAATTTGCAAGAAATGTAAGATGTTTATTTTATTGGTTAGGTATATATAAAATAATTTGTGGCCATAACAGGGGCCGATTTGTAAAAAAATGAATATTATTTTAATCAAATTCCATTTCAGATTCACTGCTTTCTTCAGAATCTAAGAAATCTTCAATTCCAATGTTAATTATTACCGGTTCCAGCATTGCATCAGTCATATTATCCAAATTCCACATTTTATTTTCTTCCTTGTGAGCATGACTTACAGCATGTTTCCAATTTTCTGGAGTTACTTTTGATAAGGAGTGTTCTAATAATTGTTGTAAGTCTTCTAATTTAAAAGTTTTGTTGATGCGTCCGACTTCACCCTTTACTTGAGACCATATATTTTCTATCGGATTCAGATCACAGTGGTATGGAAGTAAACGTAAAATAATTACATCACGGTTTAATGCCATTTGCTCAAAATATTCTTCAAAAACGTCAGCAGTTATTTCCTTGTGGTAATCTTTGGTTGATTTTGAGACAAAACTTAATAATCCACCATTGACACAATCGTATTCGTTTCCAATATGGGTTATTATGAGTCTGCGTCCTTTTCCAACGGGAATATTGTCCATTCCAGTAGATACACCTTCGATGAATGCCTGACGGGAACTTTTCACATTTGTATCAACCCATAGATATGGTACAGTATGACCTTCATTTAGCCAAGTCTCGACCAAATAAAAAATTGTTTTCCCTTCTTCCCGGTACTTTTTAATAGTTCTTAGATAATCTCGTCTCCAACATACAATGTAATCTTTTTCATTTAAAACGGATTTTCTTCTATTCTTTTGCCAACGAAATCCCATCTCTCTCAATAGTCCCCATAATTTCTTGTTGCTTATGATTGGTAACTCTTCGTTTTCTCTAATTAATGTTTGAATTTTGTCCAATGTTGGAAATTCTTTGTTAAAAAAAAATGAGTGGACGCTGCGTCTTATCATGTTTTTATGTATTTCTTCAATTTCCAAGGGTTTACTCCCTCCACTCTTCTTGGGAGAAGAAACAGTTCCTCCTTTTCTTTCTTTTAGAAATCTATAAATTGTTGCTTCTCCAACCCCTGTCATATTTGAACACATGTTAACGATTTCACGAACATTACTTAAAGGGCGTTGATGTACAAGTGCATCGTGTACATTTAATATTATATTTTTCTTTCTTAGACTGAAGGCCCCTTTAAAACAGAAACAGAATTGTTGGTGCACAATATCCACCAAACAGCATGGGAAAATACTCCAACACTGAAATCTAAAATTAAATAAAAATTATCCAAAGGAAGTAAGCAACATAATAACTGAAAACAGAAAGTCCAGAAGAATATGTAACAAACAACGGTTCCCTATGATAAGACTAAACTAAATAATGCAAGTTAATAGCTCAAAAGAACAAACCTTTAACTAAAAAATGATTAAATTAATTGTTACTTAAAATAGGTAATAAATGATGGCAGCACTAATTGCTCTTTTTGGACAGCTACTAAAAGACTAAAAAGACCTAAATTTGATTACTACACCTAAAAAGTTAAAGTAGAAATAAAAGAAAATATTAACTCGAAGAAAGCTCCCATCATCATCATCATCATCATCTTGGTGCTACAGCCCTTAGAGGGCCTCGACCTTCTCAAGCTTTCTACGCCATTCTGTTCTGTCCCTTGCTTGAATTTTCCAGTTGCCGACTCCGATCTTCTCCGCATCTTGTGTTACCCCATCCATCCACCTCAGCTTTGGTCTACCCCGTCGTTTCATTCCCACAGGTTGCGCTGTTAGAATGGGAGCAAAAAAGCTCCCAAAGAATTTAATTATGGGTGAGCTACTGAAAAATGTTCCTCATAAAGCTATCGTAAGACCCACCACTGATGTTTTAGATTAAAATAGTGTTGCATTGACTTTGTTCAAAAACACTGCGGGATTAAAATTATTCAGCTAAAACTTAACACTTACAATACAATTACTTTAAGCAAATACGTTATCGTGACTCTCGTTACCTTAAAAATTAATCCTCCAAATGCCGTGTCGTTATTTAGTCTGGAATATTATAGTACTTCCAAATGCTTGTAGAGATTTCACAGCTATACCAAAAATTCACTATATGTCATAAAATGTCACGGTTTAGGTTAGTTTGAGGACAATCGTTACAATATGTACCAAAGATATAGAAAGTGGTAGAATTTAATATGATTCCTAAACCAGAAAAACCTGTACATGATGTTTCGTCATACATACCGATCTCTCTACTTCCTGTAATCTTGTAAGCTGTTTGAGAAACTTTTTTCACTCAAAATAATTACAATAATTATTAAAACAAAAATCTGATTCCGATACATCAATTTGAGTTTAGCAATAAACACTCCACAACTTTCTGTTCAACTATCTCCATTGACGTTACAGATCTTCAATGAATCTGGCATAGAGATTTAATACATAGATTAAAAACTTTTACTTTAGAATTAACTGGAAAGAAAGTTTTTCGAACTTAATACAAATTAGAACAATGTTGCACAAAGCAGTGTGTATTAAGTCCGGTCTTATACATACTATACCATGTGTTATGCAGGTACCAAGCAGTAGCGAAGATAAATGAATGGGCGACCAATACAACAGCAGTTAACCAAATCCCTTTCTTGGACTAAAAAATGAACAATAAGGCTAAACAAAGCTAAATTTTTGCACGTTAATTTTACTATCAAAAAATATATTATACCGTGTGGTCCATATGCTTATGGACTTACCATGTGGTCCATTCATTTTTAGCGTTATTATGTATATATATATATATATATATATATATATATATATATATATATATATATATATATATATATATATCGGCTTTAAAACGTCTTGCGTCGTTGTCCGATGCCTAATTTCCACGAATTTCTATCATTCCATTGCTCTTCGGTCAAGTCTCGAGAGCTCATTGCCTTTGTTATTCCCTCCTTCCATGTTCTTTTTGGTCTT